AGTGAATCGTTTAGTATACTTTGCTAAGCAATTTCCTCTAGGCATGCCAAATTATATAACTTTTTTAGCAATTTTTACTCCTAGTTTCCAAATTTACACGAGGAGTATAATGTTCCCAAGTTATCTACAACTCTGTTTGATTTTTGTGATCTGTATTCTGAGGGATGGTAGGGGACAAACAAAGAAGGGGGTGACAGTGCTCCATAGAAACCATGCTCATTACATTACTCAGGTCACTGTAATGCCTCTGTACAGTATCTTTGCAATAAAATATATATATTAAAAAAAGAGAGTGAGAGGCCGGGAGGCAGCATGACGATGAGAGACGGCACCCAAGCTTCCTTCAGGCACGAAGTGAGCAATCAACAGTCTTTGTCGCAGAGCTGACAAATGCTAACATCAAGCTTTGATGGACACTCCCTGCTTTAAAAATGACCACAAAATCAAAAGTAGGTTTAAAAACAAATCCTCTGGTGATGTAAGTAAACAAAAGAAGCAGTGCCTCCGCTCGGGCTGTGTCCTCCAAGCCCAGCTTCTGGAAGATGGAAAGCGCACGGAGGGAAGGAGAGAGCTGTGCGCTTCCGGTCTACGATTTCATGAAGCACATGGTTAAACCCTGTGAAGCCAAAAGGGTATATTCAAGAGCACTAAGGTGTACATTTTCACTTATTTCCTGCATGGTTTTCTTCACAGTCAGAATTGAGAGCACGTTGTCCCCACTTCTGGATTCCAAAGACCATTTTTTTTAGAAGTAGTACTTGATTGGGGAAAATAAGTGGAAATGGTCCTTAGATTTTTTTCTCTGGAGATTCAACTGCCCCAGAAGCACAGACACAACACTCTATAAAGTATTTTGCTCTTCAGTACACCAGCCCAGCCTTCTTCTGCCCCTGCCCTTCCTCCCTACTCTTCCCTTCTTTTTCCCTTTTTACCTATCTGTCATCTTTCATCTTTCTATCTTTTCCCCCCATAGCTCACTGCCTAAAATAGTACCTTGGTTGAGCAGATGGGTTCAGCAGTTTGTGGGGGAAATCTGGTTAGTAACAATGTGCACCCCAGGAGGTGGTCTTGTGGTCAGGTTGCTCTAAACATAACGCATTCATCAAGAAGTTCCACATCTTCAAGAATTATTTGTTCCCATGTAGGTAACTCTACTGGCTAGTTTGTAGGTCATGGCAGTAATCCCTGTGGCTGGAAAGGATGATGGAGTTTTCCAGGATCTTTGCCGAGAGCTTGTACCATGAAGTGTCTGGTGAAGGTGGGAGCCAGTCCTCGGGTTCCAGGTTGGTTTTGTAGGAAGAGGCAGGATTCCTGGCAAAGTTGACAAAAGCCTCATGGAAGAGTCACCCCATGCTCTGAGATACAGAGTGTGGCAGAGCTGGCTCGTAGGAATGGGAAGCTGGAAGAGGGCTTCATTCTTCTGTCGCATTGAGTTGGAGCTGACAAGAGGAGAGTGTCGTTTTTCACTGCAGTTTAGAACAGGGCCAGGCTAGAGAGGTGCTCTCAGGAACCATGGACCTGACCGACATGTTTAAACCACAAGATGGAATGAGCCTAGTGAGAAAGGTCATCTAGCTCCAAAGACCAGAGTTGCAGGGGCTGGGTCCTGGAGCTCACAGATCAGGGAAGATGGGGGAGACAAACAAGAGCAGCCACAGGAACTGAAACAAGAGTGTGTGCACTCTTGTTTTCATTGTAATTTGGCTAGCAGAGAGCATGAATGTGCATTTCACTGCACTATGTGCTGCCTTTCTTTATGTCTCCAAATATAGTTCCCCCAATTACACCAAATGTACATACGTGAGTAGATTTATCTTCTAATTGAAATGATTTTAAATATAGAGAGTGTTGTAAAATATATAGACTAAGTTAAAGTATAAATGTACATTAGTTCATGTTTAATTAATAGAAAAATTAATATGAAACTAATTTCGATTTTTGTTTTTCATAATTCACTAGATCTTTTATATATCTTATCCAAGCAAATATTTTCTCTTCTTGTTTTATCTGACTGATAGCTGATTCCATTTAAGTATCAGACAACTTAAAATAGTTTAGTAATATTCTATTTATCTAGATAATTAAATTATAGTGATAACTTTCCATTGAAGAACCTCTAAATATTGAAGTATATCATGTTTTAAACTTAAGGCACTGAATAGGTGGATGAAATTTATGTACACTTATAATTATTTTGTGGGTGGCAATATTTTCTCCTATATCATGCTATTTCATTGTGGATACCAACACTGCTTTATCACGGAAAGTGAATCTTTACTAGGATAAGATGTTCATAGTTAAAGAAATCATGAAAGAATCAGTGCTTTCTGCCTAAGTGCTCCAGAAGAGAATGACTGGGCCACAGAGGCAAAAGTTAGGGTGATGTCACATGCCGTTGATGGAAGAGCGACTGAGGAGAGGAAAGGAATAGGAAGGAAAAGATAAAAAGACGTTGGGAAACATTAAAAGAGGAGACCACGGTAATGAGAAGGAAATGAAAGCCACTTAGGCAAACTATGGAGATGGGCTACTGTAAGAATAGTTTTGTAAGAGATGCTGAGAAAATTAAAGTCATTTATGGGTAGACTTTTGATCAGAGTCACTGTGAAGCATGACTGGATTTATCTAGGGTCTCTGAGTCAAACTATGGTAGTGAGTATCACTGAAGATGCTCAATAATCCACTTGTACCAAAAACTCTCGAGGATTTACTGTAAATGTAATAACCCAAGGAGGCAGAATTACTTGGCTTGGTCAAAAAAATAAACATTGAGAAAACTAAATGCTCAAGACCTCTTAAGTGGGCTTTCTGCCTACTAAATGTTCAGCACCACCGATCTAGATGTAAGGAAGATAACACATGAGAAAGAAATCTTGGGTATGCATGTGTTAGGATCAAGTGGAAAAGAGATTCTAGGATGCTGATATGTACTGTCTGCTGAGCCAGGAATATTCAGTGAAGATAATGGGAGAAGATACTACTCATGAATAAAGAGTGAACTGTCAAGAATGGTTTAGGTAAAGAAGGAACACCACTGAGACAGGTGTCAAAAAGAATGAGTGGGAATATGTCTAGGCGATGTCCTCAGAAAGTCCTGTGAGCACAAATACAGGAACACGTGGCCTTGAGGGAGGTTCCCAGGCCTGAGTCATGACAACAGGAACCTTCTTAGTAAGGCCACACCAGCAAGTTAACTCCCGTGGCAGAAGAGCTGGGCACAGGTGACGGTCACAGTGCAGCTCCTATACATTGCTTTCGGTGTTGGGCCTGCAGCCCATCCTGCTTTCTGCTGTCAGATTAAGGAATCAAAACATCATCTCCCTTTCCTGGTGCTACATCAGTATTTTTAGATATTCTATTCTTTTTCTATAAGCCTAACCCCAAGTAGTTTGGGGATTGAACTCTCAGGGAAACCTAAGTACCAACGAAATATCTAATTCTTTAGCCTTTGATCTCAGGCACATGATGTATATTCTAGAAATAGAGATGTTATCAGTGAGAATTGTCATTTCCTTTCTCCTCAATTGTTATTTGTCATCTGTCTTAATATGCATGAAAGTGTATAGTAAATATTTTAGGATATATTTTAACTTCTGATGTTCTGAAGTTTACACGTAAGACATGAGAACAAATCTTAATGTCTATCACAGATTTGCAGTGTACTCTTGAGCCTTCCTAAACCTGTAATACTCATTGACATCTTGTACTATTGGTGGAGTAGGTAAAACTTCCAGGAACATTTATTTTAATTATGTTGCAAATTTTTTGACTGACATAGGAGAAATATTTAGTACATATTTGTGAAAGAATATCATCTCTGTAAAGATTCTCCTAATCTCTGAAAAACCTGAGTAGAAAGAATACTTATTAGATATTCACATTCCCAATTCATTTCTCTTATTTTCAAAATGAGAAATGTAATTGTGAGAATTATCAGCAGGTAAGTGTAGGGGGCATATTTCATGACTATACAAAATAGGCTGCAATGTATTGTGAAAAAAATGCTTTGACAGTTGGATAGTTAGAGAGCTAAGCATCAGCCTTGTGATTGAGCCAACCATGCTGTCCTCTTCCTTTGTTCTTGCTAGTGTTTGCCCTCTCCTTTTTCTACTGCAGTACATGCTTTTTCTTCCATAATGTATCTGGTTAAAGATTGCCATGTTCCATGCCATCTTATGTCTTCATAGTTTGGGGATTGTTCTTAGAGATTATGAAAATCAATGACTTTCTTATTAGTAATAAAATGTTTAGTTTTTTTTAGCAAGTTGGATGGAAGCCATAAAGTCTATAATAAATAGTCTATGTTTTAACTTCTGACAAAAGGAACACAAAAAGGTGGTGATAAAATAACAGAACAGAATTCCTGTGCTTTAAATGTTTCTCTACCTAGTAAAGTTACCTGTGGCCACCTGATATCAATTCATTTTCCCTCTTTCTAAGCTGTTAATACTTATACCCTTCCTGCCCTGGTCCAGTATCGTGTGGGTGCACATTATTTTTCAACATCTGCTCTGTATCCTGCACTGTTTTAGGGACTTCATATAAATATTTCTAACTTTACTCCCCTAAGACAATTTTTCAAAATGTCTCCCATTTGCATGGTAAGAAAGATGAAGGTAACTCAAGGTCATCCAATTTGTAAGTGGTGGTAAGCCAGGATTTATATGGAGATTGGCTTGAATCTAAAGAGTCACATGATTCCCCCTCTATTATTTGGCCTGGAGTTGCTTAGAAATTATTAGTAATTTTTGAATATTAATACTTAAACCATCATAGAGAATCTTCTCTGTGATTGAGCAAGAACTGGATTGGTATTTCTTAGCCTTACTTAAAAACTTAAGAACTGTTTGTACATAAACAAGCTCTCCCACAGCAGCTCTTATCTATTGAATGGGAACTAATGACATTTGGAGATCTGTTTATCATGGTCTCTCTGCTATTAAGGGCTGCAAATTCTTTCTGATTTTTTGTGTAACTTGCCGTTATCTTTGTTGTTGCAGTACTGGATACCAATTTATTTACTATTCACCTGAAAACACAGCAAAAGCAAAGGAAGTTCTCAGCAACATCAATCAACTACAACCTCTGATAGCAACCCAGGCAGACCTACTGCTTCATTCCGCAAGCCAGCATTCTCCAGACAGCTTGAAGAATTCTTTAAAGTTGCTTGCAGAAAAAGTAAGATCCAAATCATCACCACCGTGGGGAAAATGAAATTCTCCAATCCCCACTGGTGTTGCTTTCTGCATACATTGCCTTTCGTAGCTTCTGCAAATGTTAGGAGTCTAGGTTAAAAGTAAGCTTCAAAGTATTGCCACGGGATCAAAATGAATTGGCTTTATTCTTTTGCAAATCTTACTAAGCATTTTTTTCTAGGAGGAAATGAAACCTGTTATTGGCTAGAGCATATTTTCTCTTTACCTTGATATCCTTCATTTATATGGCTTTACACATTAAATTCAATGTTTGCAAATTATTTTCTTCTGATGATCACCTATTTTCATCCACATAATTTCCAATATAAATAAGAATGTCACTTCATTTAAAGTCAGAAATTGGTTGTGGATTCAGATGAATGCCATGGGTTGGGGGAGGGAGGAGGGGGGTGTAGTCATTCTTCTAGCCTAATTCAGTTTATAGAAGATTCTAGAAATTTCCAAATATTAGTTATTATTTGAAATGTCATAGAACTTAATGCCTAATTTTTACCAAAGCTGACTTGTTCCTTTAACTGCACTCTGGCCTGCATGGAGCAGGTACTAAATATCAATGTCCATAGCTAATTAGGGCAGCTGTGTGAATGAGAGACAACCAAGACAAAAAAAAAAAAAAAGATGGCTTGATTTTTTTAAACATGAAGCCAACCAGGCATGCTGGGGTGAAATACTGGTATACTCACCCTTAACTTCTGACTCCTTCTACTTTAATATGAGACACTTCCAATAAATAGGTCCTTGAAGAAACTGATCTATAAACATCTCCAGTAATTCTATAACTAGTCAACAGTTCTTCATCTCTCAAAACCACAGATGAATAGAAATAGAAAAAAATGCTTGCATCCATCCATCTCATTCTGATATGATCATTGGTATTCACAATACCTTGTCCTTATTTAACATTTTAAATTACTCATTTTCATATATTTTCCGCACAGGGAAACACTAGTATCTTCTCTCCAAGTTAGCTACTATCTATTGAGAAAATCGATATATAATTGTATTAGACCAGCCTATTATAAAAAGAGAGGAGGATGACAGTCCAAGTCTGGCCATTTGAAGTGCAGCATCTTTCTAAGCGAGAACAGATGCCTTCATTGCAAGAAAAGACGGCCCGCCTCACAGGTTTCCACGGCATTACTCAGTCATGGGCTGTTGTGTGCTGTTTATTGAGTCATTACAGTTGTTGGGAACATCTTTTCTTCATTTCACAAAGCTCTGAGGAATTAAAGAATGTACAGAATCAGGCAGCTAGAATCACCCCCCAGAAACCAAACAAAAGCAGCTCTGGACCCTTTATAGAAAGGTGTTTTGACACTGCCCTTTTTGCAATTGTAAAATTCTTTTTTGTTGGACAACCTTCCTGGCATTATGCAAGTATTGTAATACTCAACAAATACATATTTACCACTAAGGGAAAGAAGCGGAAAAAGTAAGCTAGAAGATTGTGTACCCAGTGGAGTGCTATACAATTTCATTTTGGAGCATTTCTCTTGTGGTATTTTTTAGATGAAGTGAGATATTTTTTTTTCTTCTGCGTTCACCTAAGCAGAAAATTTTAGCAAATAGCACATCATGGCAGTGATTACAGAGCAGTATTTATATTCTCCCTGTGCAGTGGGCAAGGATTCATCATTTCATACATCATTTGCAGCACGCGGCCATGGTGGTGGAGATGTGTGTGCCAGGGATAGGACGGTTTCTCCTCCTTTAGTCCAGCATTGGTCCAGCTTTTTGCCCTTTGTGTTCTACACAGTTGGAAAGCATTGTCTGCTAATAAAACTCTCAACCCAGGAAACTAAGAGGATCATTTTAAAGTTAAGTTTGTAAGTCATGCATTCTTTCTTTCTTTTTTTTTTTTTTTGGGTCCGGTCATGGGGCTTGTACTCTGGGCCTGGGTGCTGTCCCTCAGCTCTTCCGCTCAAGGCTAGTGCTCTACCATTTGAGCCACAGTGCTGCTTCTGGTGTTTTTTTATTTGTTTGTTTGTTTTGGGGGATAAGAGTCTCATAGACTTTCCTTCCCCAGGCTGGCTTTGAACTGCAATCCTCAGATCTCAGCCTCCTGAGTAGCTAGGATTACAGGCATGAGCCAATAGTGCCCAGCTAAATCATGCATTCTTTTAAGCATCTATGCCTGCAATTTCAAAGAATCAGCCAAGTTAACAGTTTTGCTGTCTCTGAAGACTGCTAAGAAACTCATGATTTAGAAATAAAAGTATGATTCATGAATTGAGCAAGAAATAAATGTAGTTAAGTGATGTAACAAGTTGTAACCTAAGTTGGTATTAACAGGATTATAATTTTGAGTTTTTTTTAATTTCAGAGTTTCATTCTGAAAAAAATCATTCTTTGTTGGTAAACCCTGTTTTAAAAAATTATATTTTAAAATGCATATTTAAAATGGGCCATCAGGCCCCATTTGAATAAGATAAAGGTTACCAAGATGTGTGGATGACACCTTCATCGTTGGTTGTTGCTATAACAAGAACAGCTAAGCTCTGTTCTTTGGCATGATGCCCACATATAGCTATCTTCTCCATTTTACATTGTGACCTCCAGGATGCTTCATCCTATATTTCGACTGCTTTGAATCCTCTGATCTACATTTCCTGGTTCTTTAATCCATGAACTGGTGTGTTTAAGAAGTAGTTTCTTCATGTTGATTTTCCAGTACCTCATCAATACAGCCTTCAAGAAAGAATAAGCATGGTTTCTCTGTGTCGTTTTCAGAAGAGATGGAAGGTTTTGCAGGCCGTGAGCTCCGTCCTTGGGCGAGCTCATTCTGGGGACAGGGAAGGTGGAAGGCAGTGCAGGGGCCGTGTGGAAGGAAGTAATTGAGTGTTTTGTGAGGTGATGGCTTCTCTGCCTACGGGCACCAGGCCACTTGGTGATGCTGGCAATGGACTCCTTGGCAAGTGGACCTGCACTGAACATCTGTGGAAAAACATGGAGCACAAAGGAACCCAACTTGCTAACAGCACACTTAAGGAGTCTCAGAGTCAATGACGATGTGTAGATCCAAAAGCAATTCATGTCATCTCCGCCGCTCCAGCGCACTAGATGGTATAGGGCTCAGGTTACCCAGCCAAGTTCTTCCCTTCTACTGGAATTCCATTCCATTGGTAATAAAAGCTAAAAACATCAACTTAGTAAAAGTAAAAATAAAATAATTTCCTGACGATGTACTATCTCCTGGTCACTGTCTCTAAGAACAGAATAAGACTAGGCTTTTCCTTCACAAGACATTCAAGGTCCTTGTAACATTGTAATAGTAATAACGATATCAATAGTAAGTAGCATTTGCTTACAGCTTAGTGATGGTGAGCTGTCCCCACAAGATCCTTTTTTAACAGTGAATATCTCTTATTTAATACGTTGTTACAGTGATTTACTTCATGAGTAATAAAACTGAGTGAGTCAGATTAACAAATCGAAAATGATAATGCACCCTTAGATACTGTAAGATCATGATACTATACCCCCAATCCTATAAGAACTTCTACTTCTGTAGTTCCATGAAGTACACGCTATTGTTTTCAGCATTTGCACTTCTAATCTTATGAATGATTGCAAGTTCCTTCTTTTTACACAGTTGAGGAAACTGAGACATGAATATATTAAATAATGTACTTGCAGTCAAAAAAAGTTGTGTTCCTGGTTTGTTTGTTGCTTAAAATTAATCACTATGCTTGCTGTCTTTTGAATATTCTATGAAAGTTCTGATAGACAGTTCCATGTGGGACAGACAAGCTTGTGTGATAGTGGAGGAAGTAGAAATTTCACAGTAATAAATGAATTCTATCATTTTTCTTATCCTAAGTATACAAATTCAGCTAAATTATACTATTATTTTATTACTTCTGATATTTGAGTTTGATTATAGCATATTAGTTTGTGAATGTGTTAAACAATTAACTTTTATAAGAAATAATTTGATCAAAGCAAGCTCTGAGTTTCTCTGAATAATTCCAACAGTGAAGACCAAAGATATGTCAGAATTTTAACATGTGATATGAATGGCTGAAATTAGAGGGAGAATGCACTTTTTTCCTTACTCTAAAAGCATCATACATGTCTCTGTATATTGCATGAAATCCATGCAAGGAAAATGGAATGTAAAAAAATGAATAAGAAAAATAAGGACCTAGATGCATGTAGTATGTGGACATTTCTCTTAGTTCAGAAGGTAGATGATTAGTTATATTATGCTCATCATTTTCTGGATTTCACGTGATTAAACCTCATTTAGAAAGTCATTGTTACTTTGCTCAAAAACATAATTGAATGAACACTGAATTGTGAGCAATGCTGTATTTGATTCTAGAATAGAAATTCTATGCAGATGTGGACTTTCACATCAACAACCATGAGGGTGTTTCACAATATTATCATCATCAAATGTTCAACAATGCAACTATTGGAGACTAGCTATACACTCCATATGCCCATATACCATGGATTCTGTCATGCTCAAAGAAAAGGTTAAAAAAAATTTTATTCTGAAACAGAATTTGATTTTTCTAAAGAAGATCATGCTTATTTGTCATAGCAATGCCATGAAAGCAGTTCTAAAAAGTTGGCGCCACATGTAATGTCATAGAGAATATCGATGAGCGACAGATAAGGAATTTGTTATTGTTTATTTACTGCAGCAACCCTAGGTCAGTCCCAGCCCCAAACTGAAAGGAAGAAGGTACTATAATGAGTAGAAGGGTTTCTTTGGTTGTTGTTTGTCATTGGTTAAAGTATATATTAGGGGTCTTAGTGAACTTTGGAATAACCAGTTGAGGTGAAGGTAAACTTTTAAGACTAGAATTTACCTTTTTTTACAATCACCTTCAAATTTAAAAAATCAATGAATTAATATACAGTTATCCAAATGTGTGTTTCTTGGACATTTGGATAATAGGGTAAGTAAAGATAAGGAGGAGGGCAATGTTGGAACAAGGACTGTACAGGAAATGTGCGGATCAGATGTCTCCATCCAAGCTAACATCAGTGAGTCCTCTTCCTCAAGCAAGGAGAAACTTGGACAAAATAGGGCAAGCATTGGAAAATGGGCAGCACAGGAAGGAAAGGGACCTTCTGATCCTTGTATTTCATTCACATCCCAACGTGGTTTTCAGGATATAGCCTATAAAACAACAAACAACAAACCACAAGACCACTTCCAAAGGCTTTCTGTGAAATAGATTTGCTACATCTGGTTCCAGGAGAGTTAGAAATGGAATTTTGGAGACTTAAGCGTAAGGATGAAAATTGAAACGATGAGGAGATGGATTCCATCACCATGAAGGAACAGTGCTATTAAGAAAGTCATGTAAGACTCTTGGGATACGCTCACTGCATGTGGGGTGAGCTGAGGATGATAAGTCAAGAAGGAAAGGAAAAGGGTTCAGGAGAATCATAGAGCTTCATAGAAGAGTATACTTTACGATGAATTTCAGTAAGACTTTTACAGGAAGGCACTATAATTTTGTATAAAATTGGCGAAATGATTATATGATGTATGTATATAAATTCAAGTTTATACTTGTACATGTATAAGGGCATAACCATAGTTATACCATAGAATATAGTATGGATATTTAATAGTTGCCCAGATATCAAGTAACTTCCTGCCTGCTAGATAGTCTTACCTTTAGGGAAAGTGAAAACTCCATCAGTGTAAAATGACAGAATTGTGCTATTTCTCTATGAAATAACTAAAGAATTCTTTCCTGCTAAAATAACAATCCCTTCCTTGGGTCCCTGGCTGCATTCGTATTCCAGGTAGAATTTGGTGAGAATTGTCTTGAATTCTTTTTCAGTGAGATGAACTTCTATTAGGTCTTTGCTGAGATCTCTTGTGAAAAAGGAGTGATCTTAAATAAACATCCTGGCTACTCTTTTACCATCAGTATTGAAGAAATGAGGAAATGCTCTTCACCCATTTCCCAGAGAAGTAATTTTTAGTAGCTTAAGTTTGCAGACAATTCAGTGTTTCCTTTTAAAGAATAGTTACCTGGGAATATGAGTTTTAGAAAAAAGTAAGAATAAAATCATTTCATTTTTAAGATGGCATCTGTCTTCTCTTTTTATTACCAAGCAAGTGAGCATAGATCTTCCTTAGGTTGAGCATTTTATTGTACTAAGTTGAACTTTTACATGATAAATTAAAATTTTAATGTATTAGGTTAGTACTTCAAATGAGTTGTTTTGCCTGCTCTTATTATAACATTTTAAGCAGCCTATCTTCTTGCACTGGTCTGGTACAAGCTGAACCAGAAAAAGCCAAAGTCTTCAGAATAGTTCATAGGCAACTTAGAAACGCAGTCATTTCCTTCCATTGAGTTTAACTTTCTTAGTCGTTCAGTGGTAAGGACAGCAATGTTCAAGGTATGCAGGGATTGTTCCATTTTGACTGTATAGGACCCAGAATTTATATTGGTCTACATTTACTCAGTAGTGCTAGCCCAGAAAACTCAGGTTTTGTTCAGGCCATACAGATATGATATTAAGAATATTTAGGTGTTTTTTAAGGCAGGATCCTGGTACCCAGAACGTTTCCAAGGAACCAGATAAATTTGTCAGTATTGACACACACAAAGTAAAAGATTAGCCTTTATAGCATTTGTTTAAGATTTTACTGCCTTGTGTTTAGCTATCCAAAGAAAATTTTGGGTTGTAAGAATGCAAAATGTGCTGCATTATCCTCCTTGCCTGTAGTGGTAAATCAACTTAACTGGGATTTGAATAAATGAAGTAGGATCTCTCTGCGTGCATCTGATGCAAAGTGAATGATGAGAAGAGCGGGAAGGGATTCCACGGGTTTGCTTGCATATTGGCCCCATCATAATTATGTAAGGATGGGGAAATTGGAGCTGTGCTAGCAGGCATTCAAGGAAGGCAAGCTGTTTTGTTCTAAAAATACATCAAAACAGATTATTGAAACTATCAACAGAGACATAGTTTCGTTAAGCTGAATGGGAATACATTTGCATTTTTGATTCCCATCGATAGCTGTATCCATGTGGCATAAAAATGATGTAAATAACATGTTTCTGCATCTTCCTCTAACTCCATTGACTGGTTGAATTCTATTGAGCCAATTTTGCTATCCATATTTATTTTGTACCTTCTATTCCCATTTGAAGATAATTTCATTGTCCGACTCCTTTTGTGTCTTTCCAGTATAAGCTGAATTTTCATTTGGCGTTCTTAATTTATTCCAAAGTACCATTCAATCTCTTCTTACTATATATGCAGTTTTCTAAGTTGTTTCTTTGTCTTCAAGGTGACTTCAATATGACTAACCTTACAGAGCCTTAAGTTAGAAGTAAAGAGAGTAATGCGGGTATGATCAGATTGGGTTTAACCACCCAGTCTGATCAATGGCCAGGGAAGGTGGACATGCAGATTACTGTCAGGAAGTGGGTGGTGGAGAATCAGAGCGAACACCACTGAGCATGTCAGACACCATGTGATCGCTTCCATTTGTGCTCGTCATCAGCTGTTTGTGCTAAAACACATCACCACATTCTTAATTTTTATATCTGATTAATGGTAATTTCAACTTCAAGGTCTCTTCCAGCTCCAAAATTGTATGATCTGTGGCAAAGAAGTAATTGCACAGATAAGACAAAAACCTTCTCAGACACTTATTTTGTAGGGTTGGTTGAATTTCCTTCATTGCTGACATTTGCAAGAATGTATGTAGCAGTGTAGCAGAGGACTAGACAAGGCCCTGTTGGTGGCATATGGAGAGAATACCAAAATGATCACCTTGAATTATAACATGAGTTGAGTTGGTATTATATCCTAGAATACTATATCAAAGGAGGATAACACCAAGTATTGTCCAAAATAACACTGTGTGTTAAAGGGCTCTTTCTACCAGAGTATGCAGTGTGAGGGGTCAATGCTCGACTCCAGACTTCAGACAGATCGTCCAGCCACATGTATGCTAAGTGTATTACTATAATACAGAAAATCAATTTCTTCACCTTGCAGGCTATTACAGGCTGGCGCTATTAAACATTTCATCAAGAAAATGCAAAGTGCAGCTGTCAAGTTCTTTGTTGTGGGAAAGCTGTCGTTATGATAGTACTTACTAGGTATTTACCACTAGCTTATAAAATCTGCCACACCAGAGACTGCAGTGACCTCGTTACCACCGCATACTAGAATGTAATTTGGTGGGGGAGAGAATTTGGGGATGATATGAATAAGAGGCAGGCAGGTGTTATCCTAGAGATGACTCCTTTACCATCTCTCCTGTGCCGCTGTCTATGGTCCAGAGGGAAGTTCTGTGTTTTATTATTTTCTTCATAGCCTTTAACTGTTTTAAATGCAAAATATGCAAAATCCAGCCACGTTTTCTTTTGAGGTATGTTTGGAATCACTTGAATGGTGCCACAGGTAAATGTCATTCCAGTGATGTTCCCCAGTGAAATGCATCTTCAAAGACAGGCTTTGGAGAATAGGCTGAGGAGACAGATGGTGTTTATAGTGCATTTAGATCCTCGGCATTAACTTTAAAACAGGAGGGCTCCAGGCCTTGGCAGCTTCCCAGAACCAAACCATCTCCTATTGAGTGGTATGAATCATTTTTCTCTCTTTGGTGCCAGGGCATTTCCACCATACACACCACTTAAGTGGTCAATCTGCAATTGACCTTTTTGCCGCCCTCTACCGCGCTGCTTACCGTGCCATTTCTAATCCATGCCCATTCCTTTCCAGACAGAACTTTTCGTGCATGCCTTTAAGGATCAGCTGGTCAGAAGCGCTCTTTTGGCTCTCTACACTGCAAGGCCAGGGGGCACCTTTAAGAAAACCCCATCTCCCAAGAGCAGCAAAGAGGAGAGCCATGCCCAGCACCAGTCCCCGCCCTTCAAGAGGCAGGACTCCATTCCGCATCACTCAGACTACGATGAGGAGGAGTGGGTAAGTCTTCCACACCTCACCTCACTCACCTGGAACCGTTTTGCCCTGAGAAATACAACAAGCATGATAAGAAAGCTGTGTCTTCCATATAAGAAAAAAATTACTGGAAAGCAGTCATCCTATAAATCGTGGGAAAATAGCTCACACTTTTCCTTAGGGGCATATTAGATTTGAAACTTGCATTCCTGATCAAACATATTTTCTAAAAAAAATACATTTGCTAGCAAATAAATCATATATACAGCCCTCAAAGCAAAGATGTCCCAGAGACAGGATCCCACAATGCATTTCCTATGGTTGACTGAGCTTCGCACAAGGATGAAAATTGTCTCTCAGAAGAATCAAAAAACTCTCCCTGTCTCTACCACGTGTGTGCAACAAAGTGTGCTCATTGCTGAGATGTAGTGAGCTCCTTCCAGACGTGCTTCCAAATGTTTACCTTTAAATCACACATCAAGGACTCTGAAATCCCCTCTTGCCCATGATCGTGTGATTCTGTCCATGTGGTTAGAGGGGCTTTGAATCTCTGTGGCCTGTATGGACATCTGAAAAAGTAATGAACTGCAGACCCATAGGCAGGGGAGCATCCGTGAGCAGGAACTTCTCCATGAGGGGATGGGCGGAAGAGGGGAGGGAGGAAGCAGGGAGGGAGGAAGCAGGGAGGGAGGAGCAGGAGGGGAAGCTGAGGGGATAGAAGGCTGTTGCAGGATGAAACAGGATAATGAAACTCAGCAACTGTTAAAAATTTTTTGTTAAAAAAGTGGTGACACCAGAGAGAAGAAACAGGAAATATGGCAGACCAGTGAATTTACTCAACGAGCACTGTGAAACCTCTTCATGCTATAAATGTATGATCATTCCAATATAAGATAATTAAGAAAGAACGTTCAAATGCAAAAGATGGAAAAATGGACAGACAAAAACATTGCAAAAAGGCATGGTAGCAGGCCAGAATAGAGTGAAAAGAACCTGCAAAGAGAAGGAAAGGTAGTAATGTTAAAGTATTGAGTTATTACTGAGTGAGTTAATACCACCGCACATTACTTATGCTAAAACCCTCCAAAGTAAATGCACTCTCTCTCTCTCTCTCTCTCTCTCTCTCTCTCTCTCACACACACACACACACACACACACACACACATTCATGCCACAGGGAAACACTATATTCTGTTCTAGAGTAACAACAAAATAAAGGCATAGTAGCTGTTTTTAGTTAACAGTTACTTTTCTTGCCAGCCTAGAATTCTAGCATGTTTGGGATTAAGTTATTTGAGAAGTCCAGATCTCTCAAACAAAATTATGATCTCAAGACCTAGGCAGTGATGCTTGCCCTTCCTTTAGGTAAATTCTGCTACAGGTAAATGCTGAGTAAGTCTTTGTTGTGACTGATTAAGATTGCATTTCTCCCACAGCAGCACTTTCAACAGAGCAAATCTAATATTTCTCCCTTTTACCTTTACCTTCTTCAATTTAGTCACAGCTCCAAGGCGTGCATACCTTTTAACCTCCCTGAAGTTCAGTTTTCTCAACTGAAAAACAAAAATAGCATCTGTTCTTCCTTAGCTCTTGGGATACTTGTGAGATAAGTGATTTATTCACTTGGTGAAGCTCTTGGCTGGATGAGCTGTAGCAAATGTGTTGTATTACTTCATGTGATTGCTGTGTGTTTTGCTTTAAAAATGGAAATTATATCATCTTCTGATGAAGATCAAATCTATTCCTTGGTCCCTCTCTAGTGGGGAAACTACATATCGTGGAATGTGAATTGTGAGTTTTAAGGAGTTTGAGTAGATGTGGAAAGGAAGTTTTATTTTATTAAACATGCAGTATTATTTCGATGTATAATTGCCAGTTTATAGGAAACCAAGTGATTCCTTTGAAATTAGATGTATTTTATTTCTTCTCACTGTGTTATGCAGTTCTGTGTTCACCTTCACCTCTTCCTCCTGTTCAGTTTCTACTCCTTTCCTCACCCTTCCTTCCTTCCCTCCCTCCTGCTTTCCTTTTTCCTCCCTCCCATTCTTTCCTTCTTCTTTCCCTCCTTCTTCTTCCATCTTCATCCCAGTTTCTCACCCTCCTTCCCTTTCTTCCTTCCTTCCTTCCTTCCTTCCTTTCTGCCTTCCTTCCTTCCTTCCTTTCTTCTTTCCTTTTCTCCTTCCTTCTTCTCTCCCTCCTTTTCTCCTTTCCCACCTTCCATCTTTCCTTCTCTCCTCCGCTTCCTTCCCTCCTCCCCTCCTTCAACGCTTTATTCAACTCTAACAGAGTAAATCTAAAGAAAATGTAGCTAATTGAAAATGGTTTTGAGACTGTGCTATTAAATGAATTGGAAGCATAACTTTGTATAGCCCCTTTCTTAATTAGTTGTTAGAAAGTTTCAACCCTGATTACAAATGCAGTCAACTTCTGGAAGTAATTCAGTGTTTTAAATTAATGTAATTGGGTTTCGGTGATATATGAAAATATTCCTCGATCACTTAAATTAGCTTAAGTTTGCACTAAGATTACAGTAGCACCATTAAAAAATTCTGTTTGTTTTACTTAATTTCCAGCAGTGGCAATAACCATTACCTAACCTGAATAACTGTCTTCAGCTCTTACAATAAAGATTTGGAACATGAAATCATCTTGGTAAATTACTCTAAAGTTCTATTCTGTCAATGTACCAACAACATTTCTTTTGTGGTCAGGGCAGAGAATCGCTATGAACTCGAAATTGCTGTGAGGCTATTTGATTTTCAACTTGTTTTGTTGACCCAGTTGAAGAGCAATAATTATCAAGTCAATATGCTAGAGATTGAATCTAAAATGAGTACTACCCCCTCCAAGACTTTTATTTGCTAAATTTTACTTATTCAATGATGAAATGATTTAAAAGTTTATTTTCCTAAAAGTTAGTAAACAATCAAAGCTCAAAGGAATACTTGAGATTTTATGACAATGTGTGCCGGAAAATAGACAAGCTTATCAGCCAGTAAAGTTGACATATTGCTTTTCTTTCTCTGCGTTTCTACAGCAGATGCTTCTAGCAGCTGGGACTCTAAGATTAGTTTGCCCAGAATATGAAAGTGTGTCATCCAACCAAACTATTAGGCTGACCCAGATTTTGTGCCTTCCAGTAATTATTCCATTCTCTACAACCCTGTGATTTCATTTCAGCCTTGCTACAGATTGGTTTGAGGCTAAATCTGCCTATCCCTATTCACATAAATTGTTAAAAAGATAAACTCTCAATCCTTTCTGGCAAGGTGCATACCAGGAAAATTATTAATTGGCCATCTCTCAAATCTGTTTTTAATTGAATGGATATATTTTATATCACAGATCATTTCAGTATCAAAATTACCCAATTAATTCCCCTCTCCCCCCCATTTTATGTTGCACACATAAACCAGGTTTAAATTTTCTGTCTTGGAACAAGTTCTGCTGTATGGTCACAAACTAGGGTGACCATAGAGAACAGTAATGACTGCAGATGTCAAATAGCTTGAAGAAAGAACTTTGCAAGTTTCCACCATGAAGACAATTGTTCATGTTTGAAAAGATAATCTGATTAACCCGATTTAAACAATATGCAGTAAATACATATTTCAGATTATCGATGATACTCCATTCATATGTGCAATGTTTGCATTTTATGTGTTACTTAAAATGGAATTTAAAATTAGTTCTTACTTTAAATAGATAAGTAAAATTTAGTCTCCATTCTTTAACCAGGAGAACATTGATTATTATTGTAAATGTGTTTATGTCACCTAAGGAAAGTAGATGATCCATAACAATTTGTAACAATTTTTGTGAATTCTCATAGTAATATTTATGTTAAGCATCTTGTTATTGAAAGACTTAAATAACCCGGAACTGGTGGCTCTTCTATAACTCATTGTGACCAAAATATAGTGTTTTGTAATAAGTATTAGATAAGCCATTTTCTGATGGATTTTTTAACCTATATCATATAGTTTATTTTTATGCAATACCTAATGATGTGAAGGGCAAATACAAATGCGTAAGCTCAACAGAGCTATTTATATTCCTGTAATTGGTAGCAGTGATGCTTGCCACACATTGTGAACATAGATTAGGGATGAAACACAGATAACCAGGGACCTCCACAGATAAGCAGCATCAGCATTCTGAACTTCTCTAGAGAAAGAGAGGTTCAGGCTCCACTCAGAGTGAGGAGCTGCCCAAGCAGACTGATACTCAAAGGAGAATTTTGTCCATTTCTCTGACTGGCTCGAGTTACGTTGTATGAACCGTTGACCTGAGCTTAGTTTACAAAGGAGATACATCTTTCTTTTCCTTATTAATTCTTAATGACTGTCTGATAGAACCTGTAGTTAAACTTTGTCAAGGCTGCATCTTAATAACTTGTTACCCAAAAGAGTATCGTGTCCACTAGAATGTAACCATTTACTTAGAACTTTTGTGATACATACTCAACTTTGACTCATTTTGTGTAACAAAGCAACTTCTTTGCATTTGGTGCATGCACAGCCTAGTGAGTACTGACTTCTAATAAGTTGTTTATGTGTCTCTTTATTTTGTGTGTTAGGGAACTTTGCAAGTTTCTGAAGGAAAATGCAGTATATGGTTCTGCTCCCCTATAGCAGAACACCTGTCCCGCAGAGTTGCTCCCTACACACGTTATAGAATAACCAATAGGCTTTAACGCTTGGCTTTGAATTTTTTATTCCTGTTTTGAAAAGCAGATGCTTTTAATTCCATAGCATTCTCCACTACGTCCAGTATCTTTTTTCTTCGCTAGAATTCATGTGAATTCTTTTCACGGTTTTGTTTCTTCCTTCTCTTGAAGCCCCGTCCTTCTCCCCCCCAAGCCTCCTTTCCTATGTCTTCCTAGTTTCTCAGTCCACTCCAACATGATTATCCTGGTCACTGTTCAGTCACACTCCCTCCACCCCTACCTGAGTGCATATTTTACAGTGCCTTGGCCAACTCTGTGGTGATCCTTCCAAGTCATCATCAAAGTATGTTCAGAC